CACACACACACACACACACACACACACACACACACACACACACACGCACACCAAATGACCTTCTTCCTGCAACTGAGGGCCAATTGCAATGACAAATGAAGACATCAAGGTGACGGACATCTGTAAAGTTTTTTGCTGCAAAAGATATATTGGTGCAATAACAACCATGTGTTCAGTAACTAGTTTGTGGGTAAAAGGGTTCAAACTGGCTGACAGCATGAACACATGGTTGCTTAGCATTGGTGCAATAACATCCGCGCGGCTGTAACATCCCACTTGGGCAAACATGAAGTTTGTGGGCATCCCATGTTCAGAAACAAATGTTCGCTTACCAATGGGCCAACATGAATTCGGCCTGCAAATTTGTGTTGATTGCGCACTCCGCGCGGCTGTAACATCCCACTTGGCGTCGGTCCCGCCGATCCTGCATTGTGTGAATGTGCCCCTCCAAATGCATTGGGTCTATTCTGCACACTGTATCCGCCCCCATACGAACCTGAACCATGCAACCTCCCACGTGACTGCAAATCTGTCACAGATGAACACCCACTGCTATCAGACACGTGTCAGGCAGTAATACACAGCCTGGACAAAAATAGAAAGGAGGACTGCCACTCTCTTCCAGAAAAAGCCGGAAAAAAAAAAAAAAAAAAAAAAGTGCCCGATTGGTCCTCATTTTTCCTAAATGTGTGCATGAAGGATTGTCTGATGATTCAAATTTCAGAAACTCCAAATCGAATGCAGTTTTTCCAAAATGCTACCGTCTTCACCCGAATAGAACGCCCCGGTCATTATAGCTGTGTATTTGACGCAATTCTCGGACTAGATACAGCGATAACGACCTGAGATGGCACACAGACAGAATACACCACAGTCTATCACCCAAATTTCATTTTCTCTTCGCTTTGATTTTTCACTCAACGAGTCAAGAAATTCTTTTTCCTTTTTTTTTTCTTTTTTTTCTCAAATTTTCGCCTTTCTCTTCTTCCTCCTTTTTTTCCTTTTTCTCAACGCCTTCACCCTCATTACGGCTGTACCAGACCGGAAACATAGCTTCTATACATTCAATATTACCATAAAATGACCGTCCACATAATAATTAGGATGGAATCATTGAAATGTAGGAAGAGCTATAAGGTCTTCCCCCGAACACAACACACCCTCATCATGCCTGTACCAGACCGGAAACATAGCGTCTATACATTCATTACCAGGGTGCGTTATGATCAGCGGGAAGACAGTAGTTACAAAAACACCCTCTCTATGCCTGTACCAGACCGGAAACATAGCTTCTATACATTCGATGAAGGGCGTGTGTGTGGACTCAAATCCGAAAAAAATAAAGATTGGCCGTCGCTCCATTTCACCACATTTTTTCTAAATGTATCTGAAGCCGTTGATGGTCCCGATACATACAAAATGATGGATCAGTCCGAATGTATTAGGGTTTTAGGGTTTTACCCCTTTTACACCCCCAGCTAACCTCAGTGGTTGGTGAGCTGGTGAGTGCCGCTTAACGACTGTGGGAAGAAGGCCCTGGATGTGGGAAGAAGGCCCCTGAGGAATGCTCCCAAACCTTTTCCGGGTTGTTTGTGGAGGATTCCCGGGCTCCCCTTACATTTTTGTAATGAAATTTTATTGTTTGGGCAAAAAAAAAAAAAAAAAAAAAAAAAAA